ATTAGCACGTTGGTGCCTATGAATTGATCTAACTGTTCGTTTAGTATCAAATCTCCGTATGTTATATATGTTGTTGTTAGAGGGAGGCGACCCAGCTTTTTTCCAAAGGTAGAAAGCCTTTTTTGATTCGCTAACAGCTTGAGATAATTTTGGTGACCAACTCATCTTTTTTCTTCTCTTGAATTTTGATTTTCTCTGTGGATAGCATTGATCTACTTCTTTATTTAGTCCAGTAATTAATTGATGTGTAGCCTGTTCGATTCCGTAAGGTGTTCTCATGTTCATGTATTTGTGACCTGTCAAGATTTTTTACAATCTCAACATATAATATAAGAAACTCAGGATTAGTAGTCAGAGTCCTTGTTACGGAACCCAGAATGTTGATCAGTTAGTATAGCATGATCATGTATATAGTTATTATAGAAATCTACGTACTTATAATTTTCTCCAATATTTTGCTAAAACAATTAGTAACAGAGGTAGCCTATAGTTTGAAACATTGTCCTGATCTCCTTTACCTTTGTAGATAGCTGATACATTTGCAAGTTTCCAATCACTGGGAACTGTTCCTGTATGTAGGCTTTTATGAAATATAAATGTTAGAGGTGTAACCAGTGATGGGAAAATTGATTCAAGAAATTTTAAAGGTAGCTTGTCAGGTCCAGCTGGTTTGTTTTTATTTAGAATTAGGAAATGGTCAATCACGTCCGGCTCTGTTATCAATATGTCAGACAGGTCACAGGGTACCAAAGGTAGGACATTAGGTAATTGTGGTTCTTTATCAAAGCTAGCAAAATAATTATAAATGGCTGAAGCTTTTTCAGTTTAGTTTAAGAAAATTATTATCTTATAACTCATTTTGCATTGGAATTTCGTTTAGCCCACATATAATAAAATAAAACCGGAAAGTGCTACCCGTTATCATTACCAAATAGTTTACATCCGTAATTAACAACTAACAATACTTAAAAATAATACTATCCGGCCAGTCAGGCTATTTTCAAGTTGTTAATCATTGTCCAATCAGATCAGAGATACGAGATGATTGACAGAAGTGGACAGTAATTGACAAACGTGAAATCGCGAAAACGAAAACGCGAAAACAAGAAGTGAAACCATTTCGCGTTTTCGCGTTTTCGACTTCGTGTTTTCGCGATTTCGACTTTGCGTTTTCCCGTTTTCGACTCTGCGTTATCCGTTTCCGCCCTATAGAATACGAAAGGCGAAAACGCGAAATGGCCTTAATTATTACCGGCCACCATACTAACCAGTATGTTTTTCTTTTTGAATATGTTAGACCATCTTTTTCATTATGTCATGAAAATTTTCAAAATAATCATTCTAATTTTCTCCCCGTAAAGTCATATTTGTTGATTTGTAGTCATCACTGTCATAGTCATAGACTCCTTTTGAATAAGCTTTTTTCCTAACCATGGACAATGTAATAATAAGTGTTGGATAGTGGACCACTACAGAAACGGCAGTACCATACTATTTCTTTATATGCTAAGATTATTTGTATATAAATGGTCTAAAAGTTTTCACCTATTTTGAAAGAATTCATTCAGGTATGTTTCAGAAAATAAAAGTAAATGCATTATTTTTCTATTTTCAATTAAAGTTCAACGAGCCAAAGTTGTATGCAAAATTTCACCAAAATCTGTGACATATCCCATTTAATGTACCTTGACCTTAAGCAGACATTAACACTGTACATTTTCCCTTTGACAAAATCTATGTCTGTTTTGGCAATAAAGGTTATCGACAGGTTGTAGGCATTCATATTATGGCACAATTGCGCCCCTTTGATATCAGACTTGTTCCTTTATTATTATAAATCACAGTTCATTTCCAAACTCAGTAAAGATCTGTCTAAATTACATTTAATTAATGGATTGAAAAAGCATTTACCATTACCTTGATGATATTTTGAAGATTTTTTAAATTTTACTGCGGAAATTTACCAATACAGACAACAATACTTGTCCATTTCTGGATTCGAATATTTCAGTTTAACACGGGAAATTATATACAAGAATTAAAGACAAAAGAGACGAAGTTTTGTTCCCTTTTTGGACGGTAATTATCCTTTGGCACCTTCTTATGGTGTGTATTTTTCACAACCTGTCCGCTATGCCCGTGTCACAACCTGTCCGCTATGCCCGTGTCTGCAGTCGCATTTTGTCACCGGATATATGTATTCATTACGTTTTGCTCCATTTATTCAACATTTAATGTTATTTGCGTTTTAAATCTTACATGTTTAACATTACTATGATATTCATATTTCATATTCATATGCAGAAACAGATTATAGCTTTGTACGCTATGTTCGGCTATAAGTACTAAATATTCAAATTACGGATTTCGTATTTAAATCAGTACTATAGAAAGCGAATGCGATACTTTATTAATAATTAAATGGTATGTATTATACATTTTATATTCAAATAGCATGAAGTATGTATGAACTCAAAGCGCGGTAATACTAACCGTATAATAAAGCACTTTTTTAAGTTAGTCTCTGGTCAATATATATCAGGAATGGCGGATGATGAGAGTCGCCGCAACAGGTACTTGTAAAATTATTTATCCTTTTATCATGTTTGAATGTTTCACTTACAGCAAAGATATTTTAGTATTTTTGAATATAGTATAATATTCAGTAAGGCTTGAACGCCGCCTTTTTGTACTGTGAACAGGTAGTATCAGTAAATGTCAGATTATACATGTAGCTCCGCGTTGCATGTGAATATTTAAGTCATGCATATTGTTGTTATTTAACGGAACAAATTGTAAATTTGGTTGACAATTTTGTATTTACAGATACTTAATAAAGTTTATGTTTGGACGACTCATTTATATGCAGAAAATGACCCAAGATTAATATAATTCCAATTACAATTTAGTCTTGGTGGTTTGGTGACTATGCAACTTCACCCAGTTTTGGCGTCTACATTTGGCGTCCCATTTTTCCCGCGACATTTAGAAACTATTTGACATTAATCGTCAAGTAAAATATGAATTTGAAATATGAATATTATGAATGCGAACACTGAAAACACAAATAACATAAAATGTTGAATAAATGGAGCAAAATATAATGAATAAATATATCCGAAGCAGATATCAATTAACGTAGTTTATGTATTACTGGAAATTAGTAGGTCAGGGATTTTGTTACCACAAGTTAACTAAAACTTTTACTAAATCATTTCATTGATGCAAATATTTTTTAAGGAAGTTTGGCTGTACCTGTAGAAAACTTGTTAAAATAGGATTACACATCTCTTTTTTTTTTTACGGTGCTGTTGTTTTTTTTAAAGCCCGTTATTTTAGATACGATTCATGTAAACTCATGGATTCTTTGAATAAACTTATTCTCGAAGGATATCAATTTAACACCGTAGTAATTTTTTCTATGTAGTTTACATCGTAACTCACATTGATAAACTAAAACATAACTAAATATATATTCCTATACTAATATGAGTACTCATGGTCCTACATCCTGTCGATATACTGTTTTTTGTTTTTGATATTTTGACATTGCACAAGGTCATCGTTTCTCAGACTGTTGATAACGTCGTTAACCAAATTCGTCCGTTTGTTTTCTACTGATTGATAATTTAGTCTTGGAAAACATGATTTAGTTATTATGAAAATAAGGAGACGTGGTAAGTAAATGGCTTTGGACTTATTTTCAGTAACTGCGAGTACTCCTATATCTATACTGAACCTTTTTTTTTGGAACCAAATGTCTTTATCCCCCCACCTAATTTTCAAATGAAATTTAGAATCAAACAGTCTATTTTAAAAAAGAAATCATGCCCCTCCCAGTTAAATTCCCTGTGCTTAAAGAGATTAAGGATTTTTTTAATAGATATGATCAGAAGTCCATTTCTATTAGCTAGGGTCATAGAATTCAGGTATGCTGGATAAACAAAGGCGTATATAAAAGCTAGAATTTCCAAGGAAAGATAACATGCTTGACTTATTTGTACAACTCTACCTGGGGTTTTATAGAATAGAGAATAATAGACAAAATTGCAGAATGAAGGGCTAAACAAAATAAAGAATAAATGAAGGGTTCCCCAACCAGACCCTCCAACCTACATTAAAATATCTAAAGATCCATTACAGGTATGTATACTTGTTCTGATCATAACATTGCAATCTGTATACTCAAAAGAGCGAAACAACTTCAGCATCAGCATATGATTTATGTATGGAAACATGTTGATGCTACAGAAAATAAAAATCTGAGAGAGAAACGCAATTTCCCATGAAAAGCTCTCATCCGTAAGACTTCTCGAGGGCATTTATTATGCCCATCATCATTTCTTAATATCAAACTGACGTGTTCTACAATATAAGGGCGGCTTTTTTCTCATACACTTCCTCCAAATATACTCATTTGTTCCATGTACGTCCACTCAATATACGCTTTTGTCTCTTGCACATCCACCAAATATACTCATTTGTTCCATGAACATCCACGCAATATACACCTTTGTATCTTGCACGTCCAACAAATATACTCATTTGTTCCATGAACATCTACTTAATATACACTTTTGTATCTTGTACGTCCACCAAATATACTCATTTGTCCCATGAACGTCCAATCAATAAAAACTTTTGTCTCATTAAATCGACCTGAATATACTATTTTACATTTAATCTGGGACTAGTATAATATTCCAAAATTCAATATACACATTATACACATTTGTCTCTTGGATATCCACACAATATACTCTTTTGTATTTTGTATTAGGCTCCCTTTTTGATAACATGTGTGGTCCTGTAACATTACACGATATCAAATTGTCTTTTATACGTGGATGACTTAATAGGAATGATATACGAATCCTAAAATGGATTGCAAAATTGTTTCAACAAATTAAACGAATATTGTGAGGAATGGAACTTAACAGTCAAATCGAATCTTAACAAGACTGAGGCAAAGGTATTTGATAAAATAAAAACGATCCGAAAAGCGGAAAATATAAGTTTATTTTTATATAATGAATAAGTTGAACAATGTACATAATAATACAATAGAAATGATAGAAATAACATTTTAATCATCTGGAACTTTCCCCAGTACTGCAAATGTCTTGTGTAGAGAAGTGTTAAGGCATCATTCTGTATAAAGAAAATGTTGTAGTTTGATGTTTTTTACTATATTTCATCTTCGCCTCGGGTTTAAAATGTTGACATATGTCCAAGTTTTGTCTTACCTTTAAGAAATTTTATAATTCTTATGTTGCTCCAATTATGCTTTATTGTAGTGAGATATGGTCACTTAATTTGGTGAAGAAAGACAAAACACTTGAAGCAAAGTATTTGTCAATGAAATCTGTAAAACTTTAAATCAAATTGGCCCAAAAAAAATCTACTTTCAAAATTGACTTTTTTCAAAGGCAGTAAATAAAACTGTATTGCCTAAACTGGAAATGAAGCCAGGGCCTGTTTGTATACAAGCTCTGAAGTTCTCTGTACAGGAATTTGGCTTCATATTTAAAACTCAAAGGAGTTATTATTATATGATGTTGAACATTAATTGTTCTACTTTAAGGATGTTCGCTACTCTGTTTCAAAATAACAAGCTTTTTTAAAGACTGTTATAAATTGATAGTATATAAATAAAGGAACTGAAAAAGCAGAAAAAATGTAGGGTCCGTGTGCTTGTTTTAGAGATATAAGCCATTGAAATTTTGGCGGGAAATAATTCTCTCTAGACTTTTCTTACATTTAACATTTGCACCCTTTTTCTTTCAAAAATTATGAAAAAATAACAAGGATTTTATAGGATTTTCAAATATGGCTTTTTAAATTATTAGTAATAAGATTATAAAAAGAAAAGTAAGGGTTAGCGGGGAAAATTTTTTAATGACACTACATGGATAAAACCAGAGGATTCCGAATATCTGGCAAAAATTCAAAAACAAGAGGAGCGAACATCCTCAACAAAAAATCTAATTGAAAAATACAACAAATTTTGAAAGAATTGCTCATTTTAACGCAGATGATAATTAAATTGAAAAAAAAATAAGTACGAATTTAAAAGTATTTTTTCTGATTGAACATAGATACAAATATTATGGAAAAAAATGTCAAAACAAGAATAACTTACAGTACGCCAGCGATTGAACGTGGTCAATATAAAATTATAACAGCTTTAGAAGCTAGAGTGTCCCATCAGCGGCACTACGTAACTACGCAACATTCGAAAATATATATCCAGCCTATGTACAATATATATTGTTATAAAAAGTAACAATTTATTACAGATAACGGATCCTGACAAAAACTGCTACAAACTACTTTAAAAATTAGAAAAAAACCAACACAATTGACGACTTAATACTTGCAAAACTGTGTTGCAGTAAATAAGAAATTAAACTAGAGCCTGTGTCGCTCACCTGCATCTTCAACAATGACCACTTTTTGGTAAAAATCATCATTAAGGTGCAATAATGTCATAAAGAGTTAACTTACAATTTAATCATTTTAACGTATTTAAAAATGTTGTCCTGCAGATCATTTTTGCTTTTTAAAGTTTCTATATGTCTGTTATTGTAGTTTTCAAACTAATATGCAAAAACAAGTTAAAAATCATAATTAAGGGCAATAACTCTTATAAGGAGTTGACTGACGATATGGGCCATGTTGACTTATTTGTAGATCCTGTCTTGCTGATTATTTTTGCTATTTAGATTTCTATTTATCTTTATAATAGCTTTCAAATAAAGGGCAAAAATGCAAAATGAATTGGTAAAAATTGTTATTTAAGGTCAACAACTGCTATAAAGTGTCGACCAACCATTTCAGCATTTTTGACTTATTTGTAGTTCTTGTCTTGTTGATAATTTTTGCTATTACAAGTGTCATTCTATCTATCATAATTTTCAAGATAATGGACAAAACCGCAAAAATGATGAAAAATCGTTCTTTAAAGGCAATAACTCCTATAAGAAGTTGACTGATGATGTTGACTTATTTGTAGATCTTGTCTTCTGGATTATTTTTGAATTTTAAAGTTTCTCTACTTTTATTATAATTATTATAAGTTTAAAAAAAAAAGAGGCAAAAATGAAAGAAAAAAAATTGGTAAAATTAATCATTTTAGGGCAATAATTCCTATGTGAAGTCGTCTGACAGTTAAGATATATATACACAGAAGGTAGATCTCAACATTTTGATAATTCATGCTCTATCCGATTTTTACTATCTAAAGCAGTTTGCAAGATAATAGACAAATCTTGCATTTTACCCCTATATTCTATTTTTAGCCATGTTGGCCATGTTGATTGGGAAGCGGGGTCATCTGACACAATTTTTAAACTAAATGTACCAAAGATGATTATGCTTAAGTTTGGTTCCAATTGGCCCAGTAACAGAGGATACGATTTTTGTAACAAAATATTGGACGACGACAGACAACAGACGCCAAGTAGTGAGAAAAGCTCATTTGATCCTTAGGTTCAGTTGAGCTAAAAATTAGACAAAACTAAAAAATATAGAAAACTTAATACTTACTAAATGTTGTTGTTGTTAATATGAAATAAATAAATAATTTAAAAAAAAGCAAAATCAAAAAAATATACACACGTACAAAAACGGAAAAAATATATACATACAAAAAGTCTTTTAAAAAAAACCAATGAAGCAAAAAATCCTTTGTGTTTGTTAATTTCTTTATAAATCAATTCATCTAAGACAAATCTTACCAACTATCTTGCTATACCAAATATGCAAAAAAAAAAACAACCTGAAGAACACTGACGATGTTAGGAAGGGTCCCTGGTGTATTTGTGCCAGGCACAGAAACAAATAATCAATACCGATACAAACGAAGAGATACACAGTTTTTTTATAGAAATTTTGATACAAGGAAATAATTAAGGATATGTTCGAAGTTTCGTTTAAAAAATTGACACAAGCCTTTAATTTGAACAGTAATGTTAATACTTTTTCATTGAAAACCTAGCACAAAAAGATGTATCTAAAAAATTGTGATCTTTGAACAAGAAATAATTTGATACCACAATTCTGTTATTCATTTTTGTCTAAATCAAATTTCGACAACAGGAATCAATCTACAGTAGCATATTATACCTGTTTTCATTGAAATCCTATAACGACAAGATGTTTTTTCTCAAAATTTTTAATTTTGCTACAAAATTATTTTCCCCCAAAAATTAATAGCTAATTTTCACACAAAAAAATAATATTCATTGCTAAAATTAAATTTCATTTTCCATTGTTTTAATATAACATAATAAATTATCATGTAAATTCCTAAATCAAAAGTGAGAAGCAACACATAAAGTTACTCACATTTTCACTATTTCATGTAGCAAAAATAGTTACACTTAATTTAAATTGGTTGTAATTTGATAAGCCCCGAATTACTTTTTGTTTTAATAACACTTCTGTTTTTCAGTTTTCACAATATATATATACTATTCAACCTATGTCAACATTTTTTCAGACAATAATTATTCTATATTTAAATTTCAAAATGTTGGCATAGGTTGAATGAACCATGTGTACACCACTAAATAACTCTAGAATTAAAATGTTTGCTCTGATATTGTTCCTTGTGTAATTTCAATGAGTAACGAAACAAATTTGATTTAATCATTTTTTGTGAAAACAGTGACATATTTAAGAATAATCTATTAAACAAAATAAATGTTAGTACTACTAAAAAAAATATTCAGAGATCTTACTACAGAGTTTAACAGGGCATAGGACATTTGAACGAAAATAAAAAAAAAATGCACATAGGGTCATTTGAGCGTTGAAATCATTGGACATTTAAGCGCCGGAATATTAACTTAACCTGGATTTTCAAATAGGGCGTCTGAGCTAAATTTCCTGTGATACTTCCCCCGTATCTCTGGGCCGGAGTTCTAAAACGTCAAAATATACAAACAATGGACCCGAATCATTTCATTCCCATTATAATGAGCAATTTTATCATAGTAACCCATCATTTTTACTTTTATTGACACCATTGTCAAATTGCAATCTGAGACTTACATCAAAATTCGGAGTTCTAATATTGATGCACCTTATAGCCGAACAGACAAGGATAATGCACAGAATCTCCTGGACTTGCATTCGTGGTACCGCCAGCAGGAAATTACTCTGTTACCCATTTCAAACCCGAACTGATTTGTAAATAATGCCGTTGACGAGTTTTAAGTTATATGACACTGCTTTGTTGTTTTTTTTTTAATTAAAAGATGTTTTAAACTTTATGCGTTATAAACTCCTCATTTTATTAACTAAATCTTGCTTGAAATCGTACTTGCACCTCCCCGTGATGAGCAGTGGTAACAGATTATATCTGGCGAACGGAATTAATTTTTTTTAGCTCAAATATCCTATGTTTATTTTTATTTTCGCTCAAATGTCCTATACTTTGGCGCTCAACCGTTCTTTTTCTATCGCTCAAATGTCCATTGCCGGTTAAACCACGGTTTTTCAAAAGTCAGCTAGAACTGAGACTACTATAGTCTAAGGCTAGAACAACAATTTCATAAAACATGTCCAGAATTTACATGTACGAGGTTAATAATATTAAGGTTCATACTAATATGAACGTTTCATGAAATGAAAGAATTGATTTCCAAATACATCATAAAAGTAAAAATGCAAATTATTCTAAAAGCTGAAAACAAAAGCTGAATTTGAAAATAAAATAAACACATTGCTAAATATAACTGTTTTAATTGTCTGTTCATGGAATCTGTAGTTTGATATCAAGAACTTGATGTACAATTATCCATACGACGAAAATGATCACACCTCGTTTGTTTTGTAGTACATGTAGTAGTCGTCGTCACCAGATTCTTCTGTAAATAGCTTGCTCAACTCTTGCTTGATTTGTTCAAATCCTGAACGTTTACGTGGATCATAGTGCCAACACTTCAGCATGATTTTGTAAAACCTATAAAAAAATATTTCATAATGAAGATGTCTCCGCAGACATATAGTCTCTGGTTTCTCTATTAAACGTATTAAAACAGATTTTACTGCGAATGACAGGTGTTTCAATAGTATATAACCGTCATCAGTTAATATGAGACCGTGTGAGTCCCTCATGGTTAGAAAAGGTCGTCACACACCCCGTAGTACTGAAACCAAAGGTATACAGACAAGAAGACTAAATAGATCAGTATCAAATCAAGCTTTTCTGTAAGATATCTGTAAGATGTAAGGCCGACTTCTCCCCGGAATCTAGTCTGGGACTCTTATACTAACAATATTTTATGTCCCAGATCTAGTTCACACCAGTATACAACATATGTAATGAGTACTTTAAGGTTGTAACAATATAATGGCTTATTTCTAGAAATCTCATCAAGTTTTATACACCCGAAGATAGCCCCAAACCACATATTTCGTCAAGGAGAAGGTATGATAAGGCAACTTTGTTAGCCCCTTTAATTCAAAAATTAAAAGTATTTTAAATCTATCAAATAACATATGTTCATTAGTCTGACATCAATATTTATATCTTTAATTTTGTCTTGCATTATAGCGATAAAAACTCTTATATTTTGTGCAAAACAGTGATAACTGCCAAAAATAGCCTCATTTTGATATCATATCAATTATATTTGGATACAAGCAACATCTCTTTCTATAAAAACATTTTGCTAAACATGTATTTTACAAGGTTGTCAATGTGTGTAAAATATCTGTTTAGGTAAAGCTGGTACTCATATATATTTCGACATGTTTATGAATTTATACTGTGACATCACAAATGATCTTTCTGCACTCAATCTCCAGGTTATATATTAAACTGCCCATTTATCAATAAGATAACCATACTTTTAAAAAACTCGAATAAGTTATCCATTTTTGCAATTTTAGGGCCCAAATTATGGTTCTTATAATACTGCCTTCTTTTGAGTATTTACCCCAAATATTTATAAGAAGGACATCGTTAATTAACCAAAACCTAAATTCTGCTGGAATAAAGCTATGTGTTTCTTAAGTGATACAAATTCATTCATTTTGGTTAGCGATGTTCTACGATGCAAAATTTGACAAATCATGTGTAAACTTTGTAATTTTTTTTGTATAAGCATGATTGCAATAACAACATAATACCAATTCCAAATACCAGTATGTTCGACACCAAAAGGTTGTGAAACTATAAGTCAGCATTAGTATGGTTGTTTTAACCTTAAGATAGTTTTGTGTTAATTATATAATAAATAATACAAATCATGAACTATAAAATATAAATAATAACGTATAATTTCTTCATGCAAACACAGGCTACTACGTGCATTGAAGGTAATTTGTGCATTTTTTCTTATCTGTGCGTCCGTTCGTTCGTCATAAAAGTATGTATAACTTTTTTACAAATTGAATAGAAAATAAAAGATAATACTGTTTTATACATACGCGTCATCACATAGCTCTGGCTTCTTCATTTTAGTGCCACGTTTAATCACACTAGATACGTCTGTGCTTGGTATACCTGGGTATGGTGTTTCACCTTTAGAAATTAAAACATTTTTTTATCACACTGTATATAAAGAATTTGAGTTTAGTGGTATCCATAAACTAAGGCAAAATAGAAAAGAAAATATTAACTATAGAATAGAAATGAATATGGTTTTGCAAAAAAACATAATCAGTGATGTCTGGTATTGTGACATTTTATTAGGGTTTTAGAACTTTTTAAAAGTTACAAACTCTCTTCAATGACACCCGTACATTATGTAGGTAGTTTGTTGCCATGCAAAATTTTTGCTCTACCCAACATACCCACGATTTCACGTGAAAGAGTTGGAAAATTCATCTTCACGGTAACATTAAGACTGACGTTTCTGCACTACAAAGTCTAATCCGAGATAATAAAATCTTATTCATTTATTTAAATAACTTACATAATTTTGAAAGTATTGAAGACTTTTACTAATTTTGCAATTTAAGGGCTCTTATCTTACATATAAAGCGTTGATTTCTTTCCTGATGAAGTTATTGTCATGTAGTGGATGTTAACCACAGTCACTTTATCGTCTCTGAAAACAATCGTTATTAAGGTATATAGGTACATTTTTACTTTTTTTCAGACACAAGTGCCTGTGGTGCTTACACATTTCACCATTCTAATCTAAAACCTATACACTAATCATTATTACAGAGATTTTTTCCATCATAACTTTCTAAATTGCACTGAACTTTTTAAATCAAGCCTAGATACATGCTAGCTACGTCTTCTACATTAAATTTAAATATTGAAGCATCTACTTTAAATGTCTCAATAATATATGTGTTTTCTATAATATTTTTGTGTTTGTTATCACGTATGTTTTTTTTTAAAATAAATAAATACTATTGTACGTTTACCGAGAACAGCCTGAAAAATTAATCTTGTCTTTCATTATAATCGTGTCGGTATTTTTTCTAATCCAAAATTTGAAACTTTAAGAATGAATCTATAAAGTCTTACCAAGAGAAAATATTTCCCACATAACAATACCATATGACCACACGTCACTCAACTCATTTGCATATTTAGTTGTTTTCATACATTCTGGAGCCATCCATTTAATTGGAATTCTCTCCTACAAAAAATTATTGTAAAGCTTTTCATGTATAATAATAAACCATCATCAATGACATATGTATTAGTAATAGAAACTTTATCGGTTCTCTGATAATTTTTTATGTTCTTCTTCGTTGTTTTCTTTCCTTTGGTAACGGTCTCTGTAAAAATTCATTCATTCTTTAGACCAATTATATAGTCACCCGAATCTCGATGAAACCCGTATGTTAACGGACATCCAGTTGTTATTTAGTTTTTTGTGTCGTTTGGTTGTTGTCTCATTAACGAACACACATATACCAACGATCGTCTTTTAAAATTTATTCAATTTGGTAAGGTTGTTTATTCAATACCCTCCCCCCCCCACCACCGCAACAAAAAAAAAAAAGAAAAAAAAGAGGTTATTTATGCTTTCTTTGAAAGGTTGAATTTTCAGCTAACTTAGTTGGCAACTACGACATCTGAAATATCTCTACTCATCTAAATGATATTTACAGATTTTTTAGTGTCTCCTGTTTGAGTTGCTTCCGGATCAGGGCCGAATCCTGTGATTTTTGGAACATACTGATCGTTGAGTAACACATTTCGTGCTGCTAACCGCCTGTGTACCACCTAAAACAATAATAATTTCGTGTTTCATAAGAATAAAGAAACGTAAGCCACTTGTTATAAAGTTATAAAAGAGGTAGGACATAATTCCCTTGAATTTATTTCACACCAAGGCCATTCTCTGAAAGTCCTCGAATCTTTACTAAAATTAACAGAATTATAGAATGATACGCGTATTTAATTGTTAAAATAACATTTAGGCGTATTTCCGAGTTTGTGAAATAGTTATAAATGACTAAAGGTAGCTCAAAATTGAAATTTTAAAACATTTTGGCAAGAATAATGAAATCAGAGATCTATATTTTGATTAGATTGAACTAAAATTAAATTGGAAGCAACTATATGTATATTTTGTTTTTGCGATATAAATTGATTCATTCTGGTAAATGATTGTCCTTTCAATGCAAAATTTTTACAAAAATGTGTTAAATTTGCCTTAGAATTGCACAACATAGCAATATGTAGTGCTGAATAACATTTGTATCAAGTAGTATATGTCTAATCGTCAACATCTTTTTTTAAGTATATCATATAGGCTTCTTAATATTCGAATTCCATATACAACAAGTATGTGTGGTACAATGCATGATTGCCATTGAGAAAATTATCCACAAGAGTAGAAACATCATGGATTTAAGAACGGCCTTCAACAATGAGTAAAACCCAGTTGGTTTTTAACAATTTTCTAATTTTTTCGAGTGTAACTAAAACAATCGAAATATGCCCTACATCTCACACAAAGGGAAAAGCAGGTAATATTTTGATGACCAGCATCATGTACTACCTACATGGAACCATGTTAAAGAACAAGTTTTGTCAAAAATAAAATCAATATTATTGAGTCCTTGACATCATTATCTTTTATTAAGTCTCCCAAACGAAGTTTGGGAAGACTTATTGTTTTTGCTCAGTTCTTATTATTATTATTCTTCTTCTTCTTCTTCTTCCTCTTCCGCCGCTTTTAAATTTGAACTTGTCCGCACCCGTTCTCCAAAACCGCTTGTCAGATTAACTTAGGGTTTCACAATATGTTAGACTAACATGTCTAGTGGTGCAATCAGGGTTTTGTTTGTGCAATGGGGTTTATAAAGGGGTACTTTGAGGGTCAAAAAGAAAAGAGGGTTTTACTATAGAACCCTATGGGATTTTATTTTTTTTAATTTTCAAATGATTACAAATTGAAAACCGTTTGTGATAGACACAATCTTTTTAATTGAAAATGTTCTAAATGATAAAGCCCATTAAATGATATACAGGGTTAGTCCCCAGGGGTCACCCCCACCCCCTGCCATTTAAGAAAGTTCTAATACCTTGTGAGTGGTCGAGATCCCCACCCCTAAACCATATATATTTTGGTTTGTCATGCTAAGATGGTTTGAATGATATACAGGGTTAGTCCCCAAGGGTCATCCCGACCCCCTGCCATTTGAGAAAGTTCTAATAGCTTGTAAATGGTCGAAATCCCCACACCTAAACCATATATATTCTGGTTTGTCATGATAAAGCACATCAAATGTAATACAGGGTTAGTCCCCAGGGGTCACTCCCACCCCATGCCATTCAAGAAAGTTCTAATATCTTCTAAGTGGTCAAGATCCCCACCCCTAAACCATATATATTTTGGTTTGTCATGCTAAGATGGTTTGAATGATATACAGGGTTAGTCCCCAGGGGTCATCCCGACCCCCTGCCATTTGAGAAAGTTCTAATATCTTGTAAATGGTCGAGATCCCCACCCCTAAACCATATATATTCTGGTTTGTCATGATAAGGCACATCAAATGAAATACAGGGTTAGTCCCCAGGGGTCACCCCACCCCATGCCATTTAAGAAAGTTCTTATATTTTATAAGTGGTCAAGATCCCCACCCCTAAACCATATATATTCTGGTTTGTCATGCTAAGATGGTTTGATTGATATACAGGGTTAGTACCCAGGGGTCATCCCGACCCCCTGCCATTTGAGAAAGTTCTAATATCTTGTAAATGGTCGAGATCCCCACCCCTAAACCATATATATTCTGGTTTGTCATGATAAGGCACATCAAATGAAATACAGGGTTAGTCCCCAGGGGTCACCCCACCCCCTGCCATTTAGGAAGGTTCTAATATCTTGTAAGTGGTCAAGATCCCCACGCCTAAACCATATATATTCTGATTTGTCATGCGAAGATTGTTTTAAAGATATACAGGGTTAGTCCCCAGGGGTCATCCCGACCCCCTGCCATTTGAGAAAGTTCTAATATCTTGTAAATGGTCGAGATCCCCACCCCTAAACCATATATATTCTGGTTTGTCATGATAAAGCACATCAAATGAAATACATGTTTAGTCCCCAGGGGTCACCCCACCCCCTGCCATTTAAGAAAGTTCTAATATCTTGTAAGTGGTCAAGATCCCCACCCCTAAACCATATATATTCCTATTTGTCATGTCTCGAACATTTGAATGACGTATACGGTCAGTCCCCAGGGGTTCCCCTCACCCCCAATGTTCTAATATCTTGTAAATGGTTGAGATCCCCACCCCTAAACCATATATATTCCTGTTCGTCATGTAACGAACATTTGAATGACGTATAGGGTCAGTCCCCAGGGGTTCCCCCACCCCCAATGTTCTAGTATCTTGTAAATGGTCGAGATCCCCACCCTTAAACCATATATATTCTGGTTTGTCATGCCAAGATGATTTGAATGATATACAAGGTTAGTCCCCAGGCATCACTAATGCATTTTACTTTACTGGACCAAATCAATTTTCACTGGACGTTGCCCAATGTCAGGCGACCCTGGGAATTACGAATTATGGGAGCTTCGTTTGGGAGACTTCGTAACAGCATCCTGTTACAATCATTTCTTGTTCATATAAGTACTGTAAAAAAAAGTAGGATGCAGAGTTTAACAATTTTTAAAGTACAAGCGATACGAATCCCAAAAAAGGTAATTTGCTAACTTCTACGTCATTTGATCTCTGGTGAAGAGTGGTCTCATTGGCAAACATACCACATCTTCTTATTTTTATAACACAATTTAAAGAAAAAAGTTTCTCCATCTTTTACCTGAAATGTTAAATGAAACACATCATGATGTTTTTGTTTACTCTTATGAATAATTAAAAGTCAAAACTACAAACAAAATAGACTCATTTGACTCAATTATATTTATTATTTAATTTGACTGTACATAATACCACAATGCACTAGATATATAAATATTCAAAAACACACATACAAACTTGTATACATATGCAAAAATTGGAAGATAGAATGAATATTTTCCGTCAAAATCTACTTACCTCTATTAAAGTGTAATTATATTGTCTTCATCGCTGCGCCATTGCATATAAAGTCAAGAAGACAATACTTTATAAAAGATTATACATAAAGAACCATTGATAATTTAACACTTGTCCCGTTTAAATAGCCAAGTTTTCATATCTGTTATACCATCGAAGTATTATATTGACTTATACTTCCATGGTTTTACTAATCCAACCGAATGGAAGGTGTTAGTTTTGTAGTTAACCATTAAGTTGAAAACAAATATTTTCTTAACGATCTGCAAGATATGCTTTACCTGCTTAGAAGATAAATAATCCATTCCTTCACAAATACCAAGTGTCATTCGGAACAATCTTTCCTCTAATTCCACCGTAACGTTTGATCTGACGGATTCTAGAAAATCCTTCAGAACTCCTTTAGAACAATATTCTAAAATCATGATGGGACCACCTACAAAACAGAATTTGTGTCAAGTTTCACATTTTGATCTAGCTGCTTCTCTAAAGTTTGTCTGTAGTGCAATGGTTGGCTTCTTTGTGAAATGCATAACACTGTCACAAGAACTAGCTTATTTGGATAATTACTGAACATTCTCATCATTTACAGACTCAGTAACCAAAGCTTTACTCGGATGTATTTTTTCCAGTTTCAATACCTTCTTTTTGGAAGTTTTAGATTTTCACATAAATGCTCCGGCGAATTTCTTCTATTCAAACTAAATTTCCTTTACTTATGCATGTACGTATAATTACACAGACTAACCAAACAAAAACAAGTCGATGTAACTCACAGTCTTCCAATATTAATCATGTGTCATTATAATTTTTCTTAACTTATACATTTTTATAACGAAGTGACTTTCATTTTGTTACAAAAGATTCATTTTGGATATGTAAATTTTGATTGGTGATACGAATGCAACACAAAATCTCGTATTGTTGCAAATTGTTTGACATTGTTCAAAGTTGATCACTGCATGCCAATCTGTGTTTTTGGTCTAAATTTGACAATCACACATGGTTCACCAAATCTGACTCTTTATTAAATGCATAGTAATGATTTTTATGTAGTTTGTGCTGACATTGTCTCCCTAAGAACTTTATATGAACTATCAAAATGCATAATCAAAAATTTCAATCCTCCAAAACCAATCCTTTAAGTCTTTTAAAAAATCTATATATATGTTATGTTGGCACATTGCTTAATTCATTTGCATTTATGTAAAATAATATGATCGTAAGGTCATTGACCTGGTGTTGTGTAACTCAGACATATTACGTCCCATGGTGTAATCATTTATATTCAAGATAGAATTATGGGTGATTAAATGCATCATGATATAACGCTGGAAAACCGTAAATGAACAGTATGATGTTTTCTACAATGTACATGTAGATGATTGATGATTTTGTGGATAACAGTCGGTGATCGTATGATTCCTTCATTTCAGTTGAGCAGACATTTTATCTGGTAACAACATACTTTGAATTTTTAATATGGAGCTGTTGAGAAGTGAGAACTGAAGTTTTAAATACATTTTTCACCTTTTTTATATCACTAGTCCGAGATTGGTCTGACGGTCACAGAAAGTCATATACAAGACCGTCCAACGTCATAGCAATTTCGAGCTACGTATATATACACTGTACAAATGTGCATGTATTTTCAATAATTTTTAGGTTTATTGCATTATCTTTACGAACCTATAAAGTATAAGTTAAAGATGACAAAATTTCACTCAAATCTAAATCTATGGCATCGATCATCTATTTACAGTAACTTTGTCCTAATGCCTCGAGAACATTGAGTCCTACTCCAGATAGTTCAAACATAGCCAGTTGCATTCGATTTACAGATATATTTCTAAGCATGTTATCGTTTCCTCTCGAAGGTTTGATTGTAATTGTATACGTAAGCCAATCAGTATTCCCCCATCAATAAAAATTGAAATGTAACCAATAAAAAAAAGGAGTGTTAAATCACACTAATTAATTAAACATGATTATTATGTTTGATTTTAATGTCCCTTAATATTTTCTTTGTTTATTAGTTAAGCCCTTAAAAAGTGCTGCATGGAGAGTACATTAAGAAAGGTTATACCAAAAAACGCATGTCGTATGCACCTCAATCGATATCATACCTGTTTGTTTATATAATTTTATTATGTCTATACTCACGAATATCATCGTTAACAGATCCAATAAAATCCAAGATATTTTTGTGATGTCCAATTTTTGTCCCATAAAAATTGATCTTTCCTTTCATCTTTATGACGTTATCTTCATTCTGATCATCTTCAAACAGAGAAATAAACGTGCAACTAAGTCTAATGTTTCAACATAAAACAATATTCTTCTATTCAAACATTCAATAACGACAGGACTTGCTTCGTTGTACAAATATTTTGGTCATTTGTTATATATAAATCTAAAAATTTATTTCATTAAGCAAAACAACATTATTTCATTTACACTGTTATTTTAAATGATACATTCAAACGAGACCATCATTTCGGCTATGAAATGTCGCGATACACTATTGTGCAATCTTTGGGATAGGAAACTTAAAAAAAAGACGAAGCAGTGTTAAATTCAAATAAACTATAAACTAACACTTAACAATTAACATTAATCGTTTTTGTTATTTGAAAGATGTGTGTTGCTGGTGGATCTTTTATAGGTTCTTTTTAATTCATTTAGATTTATTAAACGTATGATGACACTTGTCAATAATCTATTGACAAAGACTTATGTGTTGCCTTCTAAATAAAGGCAACAGTAGTATACCGCTGTTCAATAATCATAAATCGATTAAGCGAAAACAAATCCGGGTCACAAATTTTACCAAAACCGAGGGAAACACATACAACTATAAGAGGAATTTTAAAACAACGGAACAACAGAAACACTGAACTGCTACAAAAGCAAACGCCAACATACATAGAAACGGACTATGTCTTCTAAATAAATGGTCTGTGGTGTCATTTGAATGGTGTCATTTCTTTCTCTTGAATGGTTATGTATTTTTCAATATGGAAGATTTTCATTTATATAATTAACACAATACGTTATCATCAAGAAATTTTCTACTTCAACGATACCTTTTAAAGTTTTTGCTACAACTTTTCTGACTTCCAGGTGGTTAAAGTATTGAGCCAAATAAATTAAAGCGAATCGTCCACGTGCAAGTTCTGTTTCTAAAGATAAATCTTGTCTTGAGATCGTCCACGTATCTTGGCCTTGTGTTTCCATTGCACCGTAAAAATATATATCATCATCGTTATTCGACCTGTTCTAATAAAAAGTTGAAACAGAAATTAAAGTTGGGTTTATTATGTTCTAGTTACACTCCTTATAATTTATTGTACATCTTGGCTCTGTTCTAATAAAAAGTTGAAACAGAAATTAAAGTTGGGTTTATTATGGTCTAGTTACACTCCTTATAATTTATTGTACATCTGGGCTCTGTTCTAATAAAAAGTTGAAACAGAAATTAAAGTTTGGTTTATTATGTTCTAGTTACACTCCTTATAATTTATTGTACATCTGGGCTCTGTTCTAATAAAAAGTTGAAACAGAAATTAAAGTTTGGTTTATTATGTTCTAGTTACACTCCTTATAATTTATTGTACATCTGGGCTCTGTTCTAATAAAAAGTTGAAACAGAAAATAAAGTTGGGTTTATTATGTTCTAGTTACACTCCTTATAATTTATTGTACATCTGGCTCTGTTCTAATAAAAAGTTCAAACAGAAATTAAAGTTTGGTTTATTATGTTCTAGTTACACTCCTTATAATTTATTGTACATCTGGGCTCTGTTCTAATAAAAAGTTGAAACAGAAATTAAAGTTTGGTTTATTATGTTCTAGTTACACTCCTTATAATTTATTGTACATCTGGGCTCTGTTCTAATAAAAAGTTGAAACAGAAATTAAAGTTGGGTTTATTATGGTCTAGTTACTATCCTTATAATTTATTGTACATCTAGGCTCTGTTCTAATAAAAAGTTGAAACAGAAATTAAAGTTGGGTTTATTATGGTCTAGTTACACTCCTTATAATTTATTGTACATCTTGGCTCTGTTCTAATAAAAAGTTGAAACAGAAATTAAAGTTGGGTTTATTATGGTCTAGTTACACTCCTTATAATTTATTGTACATCTGGGCTCTGTTCTAATAAAAAGTTGAAACAGAAATTAAAGTTTGGTTTATTATGTTCTAGTTACACTCCTTATAATTTATTGTACATCTGGGCTCTGTTCTAATAAAAAGTTGAAACAGAAATTAAAGTTTGGTTTATTATGTTCTAGTTACACTCCTTATAATTTATTGTACATCTGGGCTCTGTTCTAATAAAAAGTTGAAACAGAAATTAAAGTTGGGTTTATTATGTTCTAGTTACACTCCTTATAATTTATTGTACATCTGGCTCTGTTCTAATAAAAAGTTGAAACAGAAATTAAAGTTTGGTTTATTATGTTCTAGTTACACTCCTTATAATTTATTGTACATCTGGGCTCTGTTCTAATAAAAAGTTGAAACAGAAATTAAAGTTTGGTTTATTATGTTCTAGTTACACTCCTTATAATTTATTGTACATCTGGGCTCTGTTCTAATAAAAAGTTGAAACAGAAATTAAAGTTGGGTTTGTTATGGTCTAGTTACTATCCTTATAATTTATTGTACATCTAGGCTCTGTTCTAATAAAAAGTTGAAACAGAAATTAAAGTTGGGTTTATTATGGTCTAGTTACACTCCTTATAATTTATTGTACATCTGGGCTCTGTTCTAATAAAAAGTTGAAACAGAAATTAAAGTTGGGTTTATTATGTTCTAGTTACACTCCTTATAATTTATTGTACATCTAGGCTCTGTTCTAATAAAAAGTTGAAACAGAAATTAAAGTTTGGTTTATTATGTTCTAGTTACACTCCTTATAATTTATTGTACATCTGGGCTCTGTTCTAATAAAAAGTTGAAACAGAAATTAAAGTTGGGTCTATTATGTTCTAGTTACACTCCTTATAATTTATTGTACATCTGGGCTCTGTTCTAATAAAAAGTTGAAACAGAAATTAAAGTTGGGTTTATTATGGTCTAGTTACTATCCTTATAATTTATTGTACATCTAGGCTCTGTTCTAATAAAAAGTTGAAACAGAAATTAAAGTTGGGTTTATTATGTTCTAGTTACACTCCATATGATTTATTGTACATCTGGGCTCTGTTCTAATAAAAAGTTGAAACAGAAATTAAAGTTGGGTTTATTATGTTCTAGTTACACTCCATATAATTTATTGTACATCTGGGCTCTGTTCTAATAAAAAGTTGAAACAAAAATTAAAGTTGGGTTTATTATGTTCTAGTTACACTCCTTATAATTTATTGAACTTTAAAGTATTAGCCTTCATAATGGTTTTGAATTTAATTTTTTTTTGTAAATTGTCATTCC